TCCTGAACTTTCCCCCCTGCTTGAGGCAGAGGAAATGTGCAAAGGGGCCAGGGAAAGAGGCCCAACCGGATGGGACTCTGGCGCCAGGCTGACTTGGAAGACCAGGGGGGGTCTCTGAACAAGGGGCCTCTGCTAGGGCAGAGGAACACTGGGGAGACCCAGCCCAGGGGAAATGCAGCCTTCAACCCACTGTCCTGATAAGCAAAGGCTAACAACACTGTTTCTTGACAGTTTCTTATTCTCTGGTCTGGGGGAAGATGGTCTGGCATGTCCTTTCAGCCTTATTTCTCTTCTCCCTGGGCCCCTCAGAAACCTGCCCAGTCACTAAGAGCCTGACTATCTTCCATCCCTCACCTCCCTTGGCCACCCCCTCCCAGGAAAAGTGCTGTAAAAAGAAAAAAGGGGGGTGTTAGAGAGAAAGGAGGAAATAAAGTCTTTGGAAAGCAGAGTTTTACAACAGCCACAGGTTTTATGGAAGCAATTCCGTAATAACCTTCTACCTGCTTGCCTCCTTTCTGCCGGCCAGCCGCCCACCCCGTTTGGTCTCCTGGATATCCCCTCCCAAGGAGTCAGCCACCCCCACTGCCTTGGATATCCTGGATGGCTGAGAGTTGGTAAGAAGATTCCTGAGGTTGGCTTGGGCCACTGACCTCTCCGTCCTTCCTTTCACCTCTGACATCCTGGGAGGGAGGCTTGGCAGAAGATTTCATTACTTCACAATTAAGATCCCCACTTGGAGAGTGCAGAAGTATTGAGGTTTGAACCCAGTCGTGCAGATTCAACGTGATACTAATTTTGTATGAAGGGTGAGGGTTCTAGGACCTTGTGGGCCTCCCCCCACTGGCACCAGTGTCCTCATGCCTCATTCTCTCCCAGAGCAGGTCTGGACACTGATCCTGAGTCAGAAGAAAGGTCTCGGGTGGTTGGGAATATAGACTCGGGGACTTCCCTTATTTTGTTCTGCACAGGAGTTCTTTTGCATGACCCCCAAAGTTACCTGTGGACTTTCACACTCAGCTCAGCTTTGTCCATCTCTGGTTCACACTTGGGTGAGACACATGTGCGCACAGGTAATTGTGCTTCCACCCCTGCACCATCACTACCATGAAATAAGCTTCACACAATGCAACACACACTGTCCCTGCAGTTTTGGGTAAAAGAAAGGCAGTAAAGGATTTCACGGTCTGACAAAAAGGTAACAAAATTTCATGATCTCTCTTGGGCCAATTTGAAACATTTCCTTCTCCTTCCTGAGATATGTTTTGGAAGTAAGTTGTTAATAGAATCCAGCTTTAAAGTCATGCATTTGTTTTGTTTGTTGATGCGGTATATAATTTCCCTGAGTATCAAGTCAAGGGACAGATTTTTCAAGTGAGACTTCCAAGCTAGCTAATATTTTAAAGCCATAATTCAAGTACACAAACACTCAGATTTTTCCCTTCTCCAATAGGTGTGCGGTGGTTATTAAAATGTACACACAAACTTCTGGGTCACTGATCTTGTATAATATGAGCAGAATCATAAACCTGCATTACTCAAAAGGTTATATGTATCCACATATGCATGATTAGATCTTATACATGAACACCCAAGTACATTTAGTATTATAGTTGGGCTCTATACAAAGTATAGAGCACAGAGCATTTGCACACTGGGATCCCCATACAGAAATATTGATTTGAAATATACATACACACATCTATTAAGTACAGCGTGCATAAATTTAAGCTTAGCTTGTTAATTAAAAACAAACTATTTCCCTCTTTCTTATTGTTTTTATTTTCTACATTTTTCCATTTTCAGACCTCTCTCTATATTTTCTCTACCTTTTTATTGCCAAAGACCCTCCAAAAGTAACCCCTCAAATACAGGCACTCACCAGCTGCTTCCGGCCAACATCCGTCTCTTCTTCAAACCTCAACCTTACTTTTAAGCTGCTCAGGGCCCCAGTATGGCCAGGGGCTGCCGCTTTTCCTTGCGTGCCCTTCCCCAAGCTACCGGCTATGTTCAGGGGAGGCTTCAGTGCAGGGACTGGTAAGAGGCTGCAAGAGAAGGCAGAGTTTTTCCTTCTTTTTCTTTAAGATGGGGGTGGGATATGGAGCAGTTTTGCTCTCTCAGGACAAAGTGGCCCCCCACTGAAGAGACCTCTCTGTTAAGGATCTTTGGAAGCTGAGCTCCAGGAGCTGAAATTCTGTTTGCTCCCCTTCACCATGATGGGTGTTATTATTTGGGGTAGACAACAAGGTTTTGGAGAATTCACAGGTTTTCAGAGCACCCAAGCAAGGGGCACCTTCTCAACTGACCCTTTAATCATTTGCTTAGGCTGGGGTTGAACTCCAATTTGGGGCAGCAATGCTTTCTAGAAAGCATGGGGGGTGTAAGACTAATCACTCGGTGTATCCACATCCTCTGGGATGCAGAGTCCGGACTGGGCTTGGGGGCTAGAGTTTATTCTCTTCCCTCTGCAGTCACCTCTTCTTAGATGACTAAGACCTCCAAAACTTGCCATTTTGAAATTGTTCCCATGCTCCAGCTTTTTTGTGAGCAAAGGCTAAGCTCCAGTCTCAAAAAAGAGGCCTGGGTCCCCTCCTTACCCAGCACCCAGGACCCAGCGGGTACTAGGGAAGATTTCCCAGGCTGGACAATGATCCACAATCTGAACCTTTCTGTCTGGAGAGTTCATTCTAGTTGGGCACAAGTCGTGAGACCAAATCTTCTTCTTCTAACTTCTTCCCTAAACTAAATGGCTCTCTTGATTCCTCTCTAGTTGCAGAGAGGCAGCCACAATGCCAGTGAAGGGGAACCAGGAGGGTGATAGAACCCAGTTCCTGTACAGCTAAGGTCTTAGGACAGCCCAGTGCTGTGACTTCCATAAATTAAAAAAGCCCCAGTCCACATGTCCTTTTGGACCCTAATTTATATACTACAGAAAATCATATACTCAGTCTGCCATGCTCATAATGCTATTATTTATGGCAGGGGAGGGGACTTTTTTTTCGTGAAGAGTATATTTATTGCAAGTAAAGCTGACAGCAGACTCCATCCGTCTGGCAAATCGAGAACAGGTGCTTTGCCTTAACTGTGATTCATTCATTTGCCGCTCAGCGCCCAGCTTTCTCACTGGCAAGTCGGGGAGCTCCCAAGTGTCCAACCGCTACTTGGAAGAATTTGCATCAGATTTTTGTTTCTCCACTTGGGTTCTATGGAAAAAGCAGAGCTTCATGCTGTTTGGTTCCAGATCTGCTGGGCTATTGCCCTCGGAAATCAGGGTTGGTAAGGGAGAGGGCCAGCTGGGCGCCGGCATTGATCTTTAAAAAATCATTTTGAAATTGCCATAATGTGAAGAAATATGGCGCTTCACCCTCGTATTTCACATATAATGACAGGAGATGGCTTCATTTGGGAAGAAAAGTGGGTGGGATTGTGTCTGTGCTTGTGTGGGGTGGAGGTGATCCACAGCCTTCTGCAGGGCAGAAGGTTGTGTAGCCAAAAAGATAAAACCCCAAGATACAGTGGCCCCACTTTTATTGAAAGGATGGGACTAAGGGCAGCCCTTTTAATTGATAAGCGTTAGAGCGTTGCCGAGAAATCCACCCCAATCTACCTCTAAACCAACCCAGGGAGAACTGGGTCTGTCCGGAGGCTGCACCTCCTCAGGGCTCCCCATGCCGGGAGAGGCGACTGCACCCAGGCAGAAGCCACTGCACCCAGGCAGAAGCTGGAGGATCAGGAGCTGGGAGAAGAGACAGGAAGTCAGAAAGTGGCCCAAGGGGAGTCCCAGCGCGAGGCCCTATAATGGGGCCTACTAATAAAAGGCACTTATTTGGAAGCTCCAACGAGGTCTGCAGGAAGGAAGGCCGGAGTGGATGGCTCGCTGTCCACACTGGTGCTCTATACCAATATTTGGAAGTTACCCAGAGCAGCAATCCCCCAGTGAGAAGGGAAAATTCCCCTTGGTTCCTTTCTCTCTGGGTGGCAAGGAGATAATTGGGACCCCTTCCCCTAGGCTTGTTGCGGATCCTTTCCGAAGACTCTACTCTGGTGACACTTCAGGAAAGTGCCTTTAACCCTTTTCCATGTTCAACTTTCTCATCTGGGGAATTTTAAGGGCCTGGGTTGTGTTGAGTAGAGAAACGGCCTGTTCTCCTAATCCTGTCCATTCATCCCCCTGGCCAGGGCTAGAGAAAAGCCCTAGAAATTTAAAGGAGCTTTGTGTTTAAACTCTTTCATGACTCAAATTTCCTGGGCCTGATGAATCCTTTAACCTTGTGCAGGTTCCAATTTCAGGACAGATAATGGATCCTTTGGACACTCCTGTTTTATTCCCCTCTTTCCTTCCCCCTCAGCTACAGAAGGGGCTAGGGAAGCTCCCAGTCAGTAAACCTCCAGAAATAGAGAGCCCTCTCCAAATCTGAAAACGTCCTAAAATCTCCAACTTCTACCCTATCCCTTCTACTTCATCTCCTGTGGATTACTGCTGCTGCTGTTGTTTAATAAACATCTTCTGTCAAGGGGACAGAGGAGAGGAAATGAGGGCCCGCGGGGTGGAGGTGGAGGTGTGTGCGCAGACCACCTCCTCTTTAATTATCCTGTCGGGCCTCTCAGGCTGCTCCCTGAGCTGAGGCTCTCTCCCTCCCTCTGCCCTGACTGTCCCTCCTCCCTCCCCGACCCGCCTGGGGAGAGGGCTCCACAGCTTGCGTCCCTCCCGAGGCAGCCTGCTGCTTCCCTCCGCCTTTCCTCCGCCCCCGCCGCCCCACGTCGAGAACTCTCCCCCCTTTCCTGCAGCGGGCGGGGAGGGGAGCGGGGGGCCGGCAGCTCCGGCTGAGGTTACGTGGCCGCCGGAGCCCTGACGTGATAGCACATTGCATCAGCATAAAACAATCCATCCTCGATATGGAATGCGGTGCGGACGGATGACAGCGAGAGCGCAGCCCCCTCGCCCGATTGATTTATGTCAGAGCTGACGCTTTATCAGGCAGTCGGAAAAACTTTGACCAATCATTTTGCAAGGAGCGCTGAGCCGGGCTGCTCCACTGTACTTTGTTGGCTGAGAAGTTGAACAAGGGGTGGGGGTGGGAGGGTGGGGGGCTGGGGGGGGTCGCGTCCGAAAGCCCTCACACCGGTCCGGGTGCCACCTCTCCCTGCTTGGGCGCCGCCGTGCGAGTGCTTCCCTTCCCCCTGCGAGCGCCCGGATAATGTCTGAGAATGTCCATTTCTGGGACGCTTAGCAGCTATTATGTCGACTCGATCATAAGTCACGAGAGTGAGGACGCGCCTCCAGCCAAGTTTCCTTCTGGCCAGTACGCTAGCCCGCGGCAGCCGGGCCACGCGGAGCACCTGGAGTTCCCCTCGTGCAGCTTCCAGCCCAAAGCGCCGGTGTTCGGCGCCTCCTGGGCGCCGCTGAGCCCTCACACATCCGGAAGCCTGCCGTCCGTCTACCACCCCTACATCCAGCCCCAGGGCGTCCCGCCGGCGGAGAGCAGGTACCTCCGCACCTGGCTGGAGCCTGCGCCGCGCGGCGAAGCTGCCCCGGGGCAGGGCCAGGCGGCGGTGAAGGCGGAGCCGCTGCTGGGCGCGCCTGGGGAGCTGCTCAAACAGGGCACGCCCGAGTACAGTTTGGAAACTTCGGCGGGCAGGGAGGCCGTCCTGTCTAATCAAAGACCCGGCTACGGGGACAATAAAATTTGCGAAGGAAGCGAGGACAAAGAGAGGCCGGATCAAAGTAAGTTATAAAAAGTGAGGAAATACCCATGCCGAAGGCCAGGCGAGGGGGAGGGGAGGGACAGGCAATAAACTGCGGACAATGTGAAGGGAAATCGCGGCGGTGGCGGGAGAGCGAGCGGGGGGAGGAGGAAAGAGGAAGGAAGGAGGGAAGGTAAAACTTGGGTACTCTAAAAACGGGAGACTGAGGCTGTTGGAGGAGCGCCACCCCCACTACTTTAAGTCTTGCAGGGAATTGGGGCTCAAGGATCAACTCGCTGTTCTCTTGCCCTCCTTTCCCCTTTTCTCCCGGAGGCCGCCGCTGAAAGCCAGGCTAAGGACCGGCGACTGCCGGGAGAGGAGCTAGCGGGAGCCGGGGCTGGTGGCCTCGCTGGCCGAGAACAGGCGCAGGCGAGGGCCGGAGCGCACGGGGGTGCCCGAGACCGCGCGACTGGCAGAGCTTCCCGCGCCACGCGCAGCCCGTAAAAGCCGGCCAAGGGGAAGGGGGAGGGGGCTCATTAGGATTTTATTTGCGATGCAACAGCTTGGCAGAGGATTGTTCCTAGCAAATCTCGCGCAGTAGCCGCGCGGGGTCCGCAGCCGGCGCCAGGAGGGGCGGGGGAAGCCCAGGACGCGGCTACTGAGCCCCCTCCCCGGATGCGCTGGCCCCTCCCGGGACTCTTCCCTCCGGTGGCCCCCTCTCTTCCTCGGTATCCTTGCCTGGGCCGCTGCTTCCTTTTCTACGGGCTACCCCCTCCCTCCCGCTGCTCTCCGCAGGGCTCCCTAGCCCCAGCTGTGGCTGTCCTCCTCGCGGGGAGTCTGGGAATCGCTTCCGAATTTCGGGGCATCCCGAAGGGACCCGAGGGAGAGGAGGGGTAGGGAAGAGGGTTGCGGAGAGGCGGAGAACTTTACGGTTACTGGGTAGTTTCCCTTCATCTCCTACTCTTCAAACACTCTCCTGCCAGTACCCCAAGTCTGGCTAATTTCCAAGAGATGCTACTCAATGAGAGAAGGGGGGTTCTCATTTTTTTTATTTATTTTTAAGGTTGAAAAGGGCAAATCGGCTAGGGGTTCTTAGTTTCAAATAATCACCCCCCCGCCCCCGCACAATCTGGAGGGTCAGGTCTTTATCCCTGGCTGTTTGGGGGAAGTAGGGAGTCAGCCTTTTTAGCCTCTTTTTGCCCTGCCATATTTCCCACCAACAGAGTGGTCCAAGGTCCCTCTGGGGCACCCTTGCTTGCTGGAGAGCAAAGAGCTGTCCAGTTCCTCTCAGGTCCCTGCAGGATCCCACCACCTCCAACCTGCCAGGTTGAATCAGAAGAGCTGGCATTTGGGGAACAGGGCGCTTTCTAAGCCCTTCCCACACCCCTAAACAGACTCCTCTATCCCAAACCCCAAAACTCTGCCTGGAAAGCCCATTATTGCAAGGCAACCATTTGGCTGGGATCAATTATTAACAGTTTTTTCTCTTTCATATTTAATGCGGCTGTGGGTCCCATCCCAGGCAATCGCATTAAGGAAATAGCAGTGCAAATTGGTAAGAAAGGGTACTTAGTGTAGGATGCACAGAATTTTTAAAAAAAAAAAAGTCCAGTGCTTTTCATTTGGGGGAAAGGAAGCTAGTAGCGTGTGGCTGTTATTTTTAATTGGCTTGGCTTTATTTGGCAAGTTTTCTGCATTCCAGGGTAGGGGGTGAGATGCTAAGGAGAGGGAAAGCCTGTACATATTTTCCTCTTTTCGCTCCTCTTCTACTCAGTTACCCCTTTCCCTGCTCTCCTCCTCAAACACATAGGGCCAGTTAAGCTAAGTGTGCCGTGAAGGGCTTTCAGTTACCCTCATATCATCCCCACCTCCCCACCTTAGGACTGGAGCAGTTTTGCTCCCCAGTTTCCCTGAACTTGTGTTAACCAAACTATGAGCTGAGCAGGAGCAAAAGAGAGAGACTATTGCAACCATAAGTTATCTGTGAGCCCTGGAGGTCCCCTGTCCATAGCTGGAGTTGATAAATGGTTGCAATTGCATTGCGTGGGAATTAGAGTGTGTTGGATGCTTGCGTCTCTACATGCAAACCTGTATTTGTGGTGTGTGGTGGTGGCAGAGGGGGCGATTTCTCCACGGACACACATGCCTGCTGCCATGTGGCCTACAGATGCCATGATCAGGGTGTACTCCATGGACTGAAGGGCTGAGAGGTCTCTTGGCTGTGGCTGAACAGATATCCCTCCTTCTGCATCCAACCCTGCTTTCACCTCCTAGATCTAGAGCCAGGTCAGCCATCACTAGGCAGTCTGGTGGCACTGGTGGTGGGGCTTCAGCCATTCTGGGCTCTGACCTGGGTCCTAAGAAGTTTGGACCCAAGTGGAGAAAAATTGAGAGAGAACTTGAGGTAGGCAAAGATGTGGAAGTTCTGAGGAAGCCTGAGCACACTTTGGCTCCATCCTCTCCAAAGAACCTCTCACCTGGAGGTGTGTCTAGCAACTGCTGGCCCCTCTTTGGAACCTTTTCAGGGAGCTTGAAGGCCCAGGTGCCTCCTCTCCAAAGCATGATGGGGAGTGGAGACTAGGGTTGTACCCTCTTGGTCTGGGGCCCTTCACCCCTCTTCCTTTCTTTGATTCTATCCCTGCTTCTCTTTCAGCCAACCCCTCTGCCAACTGGCTGCACGCTCGCTCTTCCAGGAAAAAGCGCTGTCCCTACACCAAATACCAGACGCTGGAGCTAGAGAAGGAGTTTCTGTTCAATATGTACCTCACCAGGGACCGTAGGCATGAAGTGGCCAGACTCCTCAATCTGAGTGAGAGACAAGTCAAAATCTGGTTTCAGAACCGGCGGATGAAAATGAAGAAAATGAATAAAGAACAGGGCAAAGAGTAAAGATTACCCTCAGCCCTATCCCAGCTCTTCCCCATCTCACTCTTATTTATGTGATGGCTGCAAAGCCAGTGCTGTCTGGGATGTATTCAAGTGAATGGGGAAGGGAATCTTTACCTTCCAAGTCCTTTATCTGCACCTAGAGCCTCTCTCTTTTCCTTTGCCCTTACCTGTCTCTCTCTTCTCCCTGGGCATCAGGAGAAAGTTTTGATGTAGAAGTTAGAAGTAGTTTGTTCCTAAGAAGGTGATGGGCTACATGGAGAGACCCATCAAGCTCCAAGTAGCCCTTGTAATTTTTCTGGGAACCCCAGCCCCTTCCAGCTTGTCTGTTTCCTGCCCACACCTGCCCAAAAGTTGCCCAGGGACACTCCAACTACACACAGCCCAGCAGACACCCACAAACATACAGCCTGGAGTCCACAGTAATAACAGGGAAAGCTCACAACCACAATTCAGTCAAGTAGTGACACCCCAAATGCAGACTGACAAACATCAAATCTGTCAGACCTTGGACCATCAGGCAACCCCCAGCTCTACCCTTGATGCAAACACACGCTGAGAAGATGTCTAGAAACAGAGACAGACTCCTGAATGAGGTGCTGCAGCTCCCAAGGTCTCAGCACTGTAATACCATCCCAAGGAGTCACCAACTCTACCTAGGCCATGGGCCTCAGGTAGATAGGGCAAACTCCTTACTCCCAAGCTGGCTGGCCTTGAAAGGGCAAGAAAAGGTAGCAAGTGGTTTTATGAAGGTACCTTAGGTGGATCTTCCCTCAAACCTACTCCCCACATTTTACTGCAGGAAATGTTTAATTCTGCATGATGCTTTCCTCTCCTTCCAATAAAAGGAAGTCAAACTGTGTGGGTCATGGAGCCTTGACAGTGTCGTCCTCCTGTTCATTTGTGCCCCACTTGACAGACTGTAGCTTCTCTTGCTCTTTCAATCGGCCCTGCATTCTTCTGCATCCTTCCTAGCTCTGAAATCAACTCTTTTTGGCCAAATCCACCTTGCACCAGTGAGTCAACCTGCCTCTTGTAGAAAATCCCGACCACCCTCCTTATTTCCCCGCTAGATTGGCCCCTCTGTAGACAGGAAGGCTGGGTCAGGAAAGCCCTATAGAGAATTTATTGTGAATCGATTGCCAGGCACCCTTCGGCCTAAGTTGTCCGGGACAGGGAGGAGCTATAGCTCTAGCGCTTAGAGCAAGGTGCATTGCTCCCCATCCTGCCGGCTTCCCAGGAGGAGGAGCCCTGGGCTAGGCAGCCACAGCCCCAGCGCCAGTGGAGACTGGCCCCAGCGCAGGCTGTGCCACCGCTACATCGGCTTAGATGGCGATCTGCGCGACTGGTGCGTGCGCACGCCTCGGGGTAGCAGTCCCGCGTGCAAAGGAAAGAAGCGAAAATCGCACCTAAGCATCAGGCAGAAGCTTATTCTCTGCTTCCCTTCCTTTCCCCTGCTCCCATAGCTCTCAATACCCTCCAGTTCCTTCTTGCTCCTGCTTCTCCTGATCCTGCAAGGGAACATTCCAGTAGACGTTTTTTGCTTTGTCAGTGGCTGTTGTGAAATTGTGCTTGTGTTTTGTGATTTCTTTGGGGGTGATTGTCTCGCCTGTTTTCAGTTGTCACTTATATAGGAGGGTTGTGGGTGGGAGTGGGAAGGGTGAGGGGCCTAGAGCTCTAATTGTTTGTTTTGGAAGAAAAATGAAAAAGAACAAAAATATATCACTCTGGAAAATAAATCTCTCCTTGTGTCTTATTCCATGTTAGCTTTCCCAGCCTGACCATAGATAAAGATCCCAGTTGCTAAGATCCTAAGTAAAAAGAAGGACTGCTGTGCCCAAGAGATTTCTCCCCAGACCCTGGAGAGCAAGGTGCCTCTGCAGAGCTCCCTGCTCTGGTGGAGCTGAGAGCTGGTCCTTGACATAAGGTTCCAAAACCACTGCTTAAAGTGTGCACCAGTCTTCCAACAAGAGGACTGGAAGACTGGAGGGTGGGAAGCAAATATCGGTGGTTTGGAGAGGGGACTGGGTCTTGGGGAGCAATTGAGTCTTCCCCTACACAAAGTTGCACTGAGACCTCCCTGCCTACTTGAGAGCAGGAGGGAAGGCAAGTCAGTTCTGCAACCTCTGGGAGCAGTTCCTCTCACAGCCACTGAGAAAAATCACCTTGGTTAAGCCATTTAAAAATACCATGCAAGGAAGCAGCAACTTCCCTGCAGCAGGGTGGCTGGGTGGAGAGAGAGACCTCAGGCTGCTGGGCTCTTCTTTCTACTCAAAAGCACTGAGTACCTTAGGTTCTTAGCCCCCACTTGCAGTCTGAGGCACCAATTTGAGGCACAGGATAGCTGCCTTAGTCTGAGTCAGGCTGGGTATGGTAGGGGCTGAGCCCTGGGGAGAGCAGCTACCAAAGACTGGAAAAGGCATTGAGTGTGGATCAGAAATGTCTCAGGAGAGAAAAAAATTTCTCCCAAAAGGACCCCAAAATTTAACTCGTTTTTAAAAGGCACCTTTTTGTCCCTCTCAGACTGTGGTGTTCCACCAGAGCCTCTTACGAAGACTGCAGTTCTCGGCAGCCTGCCTTTCTCATCCAGGCGTTAGGATTCCGCTTCTTCGAAGCTGACGTTCCGAGCCGGCCTCTGGCCCAAGCCTCTCACCAGACCCACCCTGGAGGCGACACAGAGGCCTGCAGAGATCTTGAGGATTGGGCTGGTGGTGGGAACAAAGTATAGCACCAGTAAAGGGAGCCCATAAGTTAAAAACCCGGGCCTACCCTCCTCGAACGAAAGGGTGATGAGAAAGGATCGGAGAGATGGCAAGAGGCTGGAGGAAGCGGAGCTCTGGGTGCAAGGAGGGTTCCACTGGGGATACGAAATGAATCTGGCATTACTGCTGATGTAGACTAGGCTCCCTCTCCATGTTGGGCTCCCCAGGCCCGGCTGGCGCTGAGAATGAGCCGAGAAGGCGGGTTTCTGCCAAAAGGAAACACAAAGTGGGGCTGGAAGCCTACGGAGTGTAGCAGGGTAGGGTGTCAGGGCGCCCGGAGGGGCCTCCAACTGCGGCGTCTGGATTCCGAGCCCCGGTTGGGTTGCTTCTTTAAAGACAAACAAAGGCAAAGATGTAGGCTCCGAAGCCAGAGATGGGAAAATCAGTTGTCATAAAAGAGAGAGAGAGATTCAGAGAGAGAGAGACGGCGAGAGTGCGAGGCAGAGAGAAGCAGGGAGAGGAATTCAATGCCGTGTGCGCAGCAATAAAAGAATATGACCGCTATAAAAGTTTATAGCGTATAAATTTCTGAAGGTTAAGAAACTAAACAGCAGCAAAGCAAACAGTGAGGGGAAACTTTCCGGAGCTGAGAGCGCCGCAGCTGGGCCTGGGCTCCGAGCCTGGCGGGGAAATGGGTGGACCCGCTCGCAGCCCCCACCTTCACTGGCCCCGAATGCTGAGCTTGGGGCTTCCGGGGCCCCTGGGGGCAAAGAAGGAAGATCAGGGAAGGGGGAAGGGAAGAACACTTTGTTGTCGCAAATGCTTCAGAGCTCGCAATTCGGACGGACTCTTTGTTCTTCACACTCCCTCCAGAATCAGGCGTCATAAACCAGAAGCCCCCTGAGCGCGCGCGCGCACACATACACACACGCACACGCAGGTCCAGCGGGGCCAGACGTCTGGATAAGGGTAGCCTCTTGATCCTTTCACAGTCTCATCCCATTCTCTCAGCCTTCCCCCTCTCAAAAAAGCCCAGTTGTTTCTCGTCGGAATTTGAAACAATCGTATGGAGTTTGAAAAGTGCTTGATTCCCCCCTTTTATGGGCCATAAACGACGCACCGCTCGGCGGTCTCAGCTAGAAAATTACAGGCTGGTGTGTGGGGGGCGGTGTAAGTAGGAAAAAAACCTTATGACTTCTTTTGTCCCTCTTCCCTCCATATTTTTAGCTTATCTGCACAATTTCATTAACAGCTTCCTGGCACCGATGCCTTTTATCTGGTCCACTCTAGTATCCCTCCCTCTTCTCCACTAATAATGAAAGTTTTCTCTCCGTTGCAGCCTCCGCGGCTGGCTGGCTCTCTACTAGAACCTGGCCCGGCCGGTGGCGGCGGCGCCTTTTGGCAGAGCAACCGCTAGATGGCACCCTTGCTCCATGTGAAAATCCCCAGTGCGGGGGCTGCGGACGCCCGCGCCTTGGGTGCTGCACCTTGGTCCGCCCTGAATCTATGAACTGAGCGCTACAAAAGTCAGGAATAATTTGCACGCAATAAAAAAATAGGGTTCGTTACGATCTTCTCCCCACATTTTATAGATTTCAGATATAATGGTGTTCCTCCCCTCTCCTCAACTGGTCAATTTTCTAAATTTTCCCCACGAGGAGGACTCAGGGCTTCTCACCTAGTTGCTGTACTCGGTGGGGCAACAAATGCGTGTAAACGGGGAATAATCGTAATAATAGAAATAATGGGCCCAGATAAGAAAAGGAGAATTGATTCGGAAAAAATGAGATTTCCCTGGAGGGGATGAAAGGAATGTCCTCGGATGCGGTGAGCAGGTCTGGTGAGGGGGAGAACAAGCAAAATTAGGTCGGATGAAGAAGCAGCCCCCGGAGGGGCTGCCAACTTCGCCTGGAGAGGGAACCTGGTGAGCCAGCCTGGGGGCTCCCAATCTGGGAGAAAAATGGAACAATGGTTTTGTGAGAAATTGGAGTTGCCCAAAGCCGGAGGGGTGCCTCCGCACGAGTGTAGGTTCCAAGGCTTTATACGTGTCCAGGTCTGGGCAGGTGACCCAGGGGAAGGGCTGGGGCTCCCCAGGCTGGCTGGGTGCGGGAAGACTCGGATATCACCTCGGGATGCTCTGCGCGCCCCCGGTTGGGCCGCCAAAATAATGCGCATTTTCTGGCTGGTGTGAGGACAGGCTCAGCGTCCGAAAGCAGAAGCTCAGGTCTCTGGGAGTCCTCAGGTCTCTGGAAAGGTGAGGACTGCGGCTCCCTCGCGCCCAGGGACCTGGACCCCAGGTCCTTTCCTAATTTAGAAGCTGGAGCCCTGAACTTAGCACACTTTCGTTCTAAGGTCCACACTTGGCTGTCCGCAGCTCCTTGGATTCCAAATCTTTCCTCTAGGCCCCCTGAGAATCCTACCTCCCATTCGGACAAACCTGCGCCAGCTATAGATGCTCCAGCAACCCCCCACCCCCATTACCCTGGGCGCTGCGGCTCCTCTCTTCCACCAGGACCCAGAGCAAGAGGCAAGAGGAGTTTCTCCTCATCTTGAGTTTCTCTAGTAAATCTGCGCTCCGTTGGGTGTTTATAAATTATCCCCCTCGCTCTTTCTTGTTTTTTCTTATAACAGAAACATTTTCCTTCCATCAGGAATTTCTGGCACGGGTGTAGAGATGATTTAGAACAAGCCATTGAATTTCTACCTCGCTGGTGAGTCCTCAAATCATGACCATAAAATCCTCCGCACTTGATAAAAATGTTTGCTTCGGCAACAATTTAACTCTGCCTTCCTTTGCCTCATGCATGGTCCCCTCAGCCACAGGCTGAAAATTCAAAACCCTGGTGGTTCTTGCATCTTATTTTTTCCTTTCTCTTTCTTCCACCCTCTGCCCTTTTTGCCCCTCTCCTATTCTCTGTATTCACTGTAGCAGGTGTGACCCCACTGCTAATTTTCCCTTGGAAAAGGTGATAATTTCATTTTTATAAAGGTGAGTGGGGTGTATGGGGTGTCCAAAAGGTGCCCCTCTTAAAGGAAACTACTCTCTCTTGAATAAACAATGGGTTCAATGTATTTGTAAAGCCTTTACTTTTGTTGCTAGAAATTGTCTTTCCCTCCTTCCTTTCCTTCCTTTTTCTTTTCTTTGCCGATAGGCTGCTTCAGGAGACCATTTATTCTGACCCTAGAATGGGGCCTTCTAAAGCCTGACCACCAACTAATAATATTAGGCCCAGTGGGCATAGAGTATGACCCAGTCGTCTTGTTCCAGCATTTTGTGTTTCAGGCCTCTGGTCCCCAGGACTGCAGGGAGAGCCGGGTTTAAGCAGAGGCTCTCTCCAAGGGTAGAGGAGAGAAAATGGGTGACTTGTCAGCCTTGGTCTACCCGAATCCCTTCCATCCTAAAGTTAGTTTAGGTAATGGACAGTGGCTCATGGGTCTTGGGGACACTGGGGATTAATAGGTACCCCCCTCCAAAAACATACTTTGCAGTCACTGCCTAGGGCAGCCCAGAGCATAGTACAGCAGGTACCAAGGCCAGGTGGCAGGGCCTGAGTGCCTAGCAGGAGCTTTCACCACCCTTCCCTCCTTTTGATGTGTAGAGGGGTTGGCAGTGCCCTCTCACTCTGGGGCACTGCAGAAGGGTGAGGACTGGCCAGGAAATATTGGGAGCCAGTTTGGCTTGTTTACTGGGTCCCCAAAACTGGGGTGCAGGTGTGAGGGCAACCTTATGGGGTGTCATCCCTTTGATGGCCTCAGACCTCTCTTCCCTCACACAAAGTCTGCCCTGAAAGCACTGACGGGGCATACGTGCCTTCAGGGGACCCTCGTTTCAGCCCTCCTGCCAGCAAGCCGAGATTGTGCAGACCGGCAGAATCTGCAGTCAGGCGAACTTTGCTCTGTGCTTCACCACCACCCATTAAACCAGAAAGTTTCTTTTTCACCCTGTTCATCCTAGTTCAAGCTCTCCCAGACCCCTTCACCACAGAAAATCTTTGTTTGTTTGTTTGTTTAATGAGGGAAAGTTGTGTGACTGGCCATGGCAGGGTGAAAGGGGTACCTTTGGGGGGGAGTCTAGAGAGGGGCTGGGGCAGGTGTTTGCCACGGCTGAAGGAGGCAAAAATCTCGGGAAAAGTCGCCTGTTTGCACCGGAAAAAAAAAAAAAACCATAATCGTTCTCATTTCGGCTTCGTCACCCCACAGTGCTGCAGTCAGGCGGCGGGGGCGATCGAAGCTGCAGTTTTATAGCTGTAGAGGAAAGAACTCGTAAAATGCTAACAGCTTTTATGCGCTGCGGCATAAACAACAACAGACTCCGGCTTTATTGCGTTTTATAGTTTGTTAAAGAGTTTACAGCCGTTTTTTTGGGGGGCCGGTTACCCAGCCAATTCCCTCCACACGATAGTTAAACCTTTATCAATAATAAGGAAATTGATCATTAAAGCTTTAAATATGACTACCTCGTTTGTTTGAAAATATGTTTAGGAGAGGAAGCTGTATGATTTGATAACTTGTATTAAAATACCAATTACATTTATAGGACCTTTTAAAACTCGGCGCAATTAAACCGTGTTCTTTTACATTTTTCCGAAGCGACCCTGACATTTAGAAAGACTCCAATTGCCTCGTTAAATTCGCGAAATTAACAGCGTGCCTACGCCTGGTGCGTTGTGTATGTGTGTGTGCGTGGTTTTTTCCGCGACTCCCCCACATCAGTCTTTGGGGGTGGTCTGCGAAGGTATTTGATTTGTTGTGAGGCGAGAGATATCTCATTAATGTAGGTAGTTAAACAGATTTAATCCGTATTCATTCTCTCTCACCCCCTCTCCCTCTCCCCCTC